GGGATAGAGGGGCCTACTCCAAACTATTCTCATCTCCGACCCTTGTGGCTCTCTTCTCCCAGACCAAGCAGTGCCTAAACTTTATGTTTTCCTCTGTTAGCATGTGACAGTGGAGGAATTTTACGTGTTCTCCATTAATACCCTGCACCTTCCTTGTTGCCGGATTGGTGCGCTGGAGGGGAGTTGGGGGCGATGTCAGGGACAGGGGGCGGGGGAGCTCAGTCAGAGGAGTGGCCTGAGGACACCTGCTTTTTGAGAAATTACTGGGGCGGGGCCAGAGAGGAGGTTAGGGAGCCGCAGGGGGCCACCAGGGAAGCAGGCTGCAGGGGTGAGGGGCCCGGCTGATGGGGAGCCAGCCCTGTGAGATGGGGGAGGAGCCAGGGCTGGGGAGGGCCGTGGGCGAGTGTGAGGGAGGGAGGTGCGGCAGGGCCCGGCCCGCATCACAGCCCGCAAGGGCGCGTGAGCCCCAAGTCTCAGAGGAAGGCTCTGGGGAATGAGACACCCCACTCCTCCCTGCACTGCTGCCGAGCGTGACAACCTCCCGCAGGCGCCGGGAGACCCCTGGGCAGGTGGTCACCGAGGCCCGGCAGTGACTGGCCAGCCCCCCGAGCGGCCCCTGGACACACAGCAGCCCCACGGCACGGGCGGCCTTACCTCGCCGTCAGCTCTGCCAATCGGGGAGTCCAGGATAAAGTCAGGAGGGGCGATCACGTCGGCCAGGGCGACCGCGTCGTCTTTCAGCTGTTGGAAGACAAAGGCCACACGCTTGGCAAGGCCCCACGTCTCCATGGCGACCGCGGAGGAACAGAGCCCTGGAGTTTGTTGCTGGACCACTAGCAACGGTAACCCTAGCGCGAGGCCGATTCCCAGGGGGACCTCGCGGACGGGGTCCCTGGGCCGGCCTCGGAATGGTTTCACCAGGCACGCTCCACGCACGACTCCAACCTTCTATGCGTAAAAGTGACGACCGTAGCGCGTCACCTGGTGCGCCTCTGGCCCTGACCCACCTGGGCAGCGGCCGTTCCCGGGCAGGGAAGGCGCCAGGGGCGCCAGGAGAGGCATTTCCGTGCCCCTGTGGGCGCTCCCAGGCCCACGGCCAGCGGTGGCCCCCGTCCTGCCCTACGCGTTAGTCTTCAGTGTGGAATTTATAGGAGACGCCCAAGAATTTTCTTGAAATGCAAAAACACATTTCCCCCTTATAACCCTTGTAAGATGTCACAGCTGTGCTAGAAGCTGGGCGGGCCCCCCCGAGCATCTAAAACAAGCGGTTAGCACCGAGCAACAAGGCCCGCGGCACAGCCCAGGGCAGTCCCCACGGGCGGACGCCGGCCTCCAGCACACGCTCTCTGTCCCAGGCCCGCACACCCCGACCTGCGGTCACAGATGAACCTGGACCCCGCAGGGTGGGGGAGGCAGGGGCTGCGTTATTATACCTGCGACCTCAGGCCTCAGCCACAGAGGGAGCGGTGCGTGGTAGCGCCAGGGGACAACGGCTGTGACGTTACAAACGGCAGCTCAAACCTACACCCCAGAGGACCAGGCCTCGGGTCACTGTCTCCCTGTGGGAAGCGGCGGGGCTGTGGGGCTGCCCCTGCCAGGAGCAGGGAGCCGGCTGGTGCTACGGAACCCACCGTCAGGCTCAGGACGGCCAGATGTCCGCGGGGGCTGGCCAGCCCTGACCGCGCTGCCGGGAGAACGCACGGCCCAGCCGCCTCGGGGCGTCTGGCGACCCCACGTGGGGCCAGGGCTCAGCGCCGGGCAGCTGCGAGGCCTGTGTGGCGGCCACAGCGCGTGGGGCGCTCTCACTGTACATTAATTAGAGTGAAAGAAAGTTAAGCTCGGCCACTGGCCGCACTGCCACGGCCGACACCCCAGTCAGAGGTGACCGGGCGGGACCCTGTGGGACGCTCCACTGGACAGAGCGCCATGGGCCAAGGAGGGGCTCGGCCACCTGAGTCCGTGCCACGAAATGAGCTTGGGCTGCAGGCTGGGAGCCTTGAGGTGCTCGGGGAAGAAGTAACGACTGTGGTGAAAGGGCTGAACGTGCCGATTCTGAGGCCGTCCCGCTAATCCCTCTCCCTGAAGTTTCGGGCTGGGGCAGAGTTTCCGGTAACTTCCCTGCTCTGCTGACGGCCGTGTGCACGAGGCGGAGCCCGGGAGCGGAGGTGAGAGTGGAGAGCGTGGGTGCAGAGGGGCACACGGGAGCACGCGTGACAGGTGACACAGGGGCCGCGGGAACGTGGAGGGCCTCCCACTCACCTGGGAACACAGCTCCAGGATGGCGCCCTCCAGCATCTTCCCTGCTTGCTCCCCGGAAAAGTAGCCGCCTGCAAGCACAGCGCTGGTCACCGGGGCTGGGAGCCAAGTCCTCGGCCGCCCCCCCAGGTAGGCTCCCTCCCACAGCTTTCCGATCAGCCCTCTCCGTGAAACCGCATCACCGCCCCGCCCCAGCCGGCCTAGCGGTGACCCCTTGGCAGGACGCGGCCTCACGGAGCACCGCCAGGCGGCCAGGCCAGGGGCGGGGCTGCGGGAGGGAGCAAGGGCCTCAAGAGGCAGGCCTGGCCGGGCCTGAGGCGGTGGGCGGTCTGCGGGCGCCCAGGGCAGAGGGGCTCCCTCTGAAGGCTGAGAGGAGACTGGGGAGAGGGAAGCGTGGATGGTGCTGGGACCCCAGGACAGGCGTGCGGGGAGCACGGGGCTGAGGGCTGGCAGGGCCGCTGCAGAGCGGTGGCCTGGGGCCAGGGGCCATCTGGGGACAGGATGCCCCCCACCTCCTCAGCCTCCTGGCCCCAGCGGCTCGGCTGCGCTGACAGGCGAGGCGGCAGCCTATGCACTGGGACGCATTGGCTGCGGCGCCTGCCTGTTTGGTTTTGCTATGAAATCTGTGTGGGCCTAGAGCTGGCGTTTCTCAGGGAGAGGTCTCCGCCCTGCGCCTGTCCGCCCTGTGCCTGCCCTGCGCCTGCCCGCCCTGTGCCTGCCCTGCGCCCGCACGCCCTCCAGCCCACCTCACTGCCCGCACCCTCACCGCCTCCCAGGGCAACAGCAGCCCCAGGGCAGCAGGGGCTCTTGGCAGGGGTGGGGGGGGGAGGGAAGCGTACTCCTCATTAGGCCCAGACACACACAGGCACCAGCAGAGCCGCAGGCTGTGCAGCATGAGCGTGGCATGGGGGCGATTAGGAAAACATGTCTAAAGAGCTCCGTAGGGCGCGATTGGGAACAGCTGAGAAACGCAGGCCGCCGGTTCCCACGGGCTCCCTGCACCCCTCCCCCGGGAAGCCCCCGGCGCCAGCTCTGCCCTCGTGCTTCCCGCTGTGGCCCCGGCTCTCAGCACGGGATGTGTCTGTCACCCAACCCGGACGGCAGCCGCTGAGACAGCGAGGGCGCCCAGCTCCGGCGGCCTCACCGCGGTACAGCAGGGCCGTGTGCTGGCTCAGGGACCACAGGCCGTAGAGGGCGCTGAGCCGCCGGAGCACGGTCCGCAGCGGGGGCGGCACGTCGGGCTGGTGCGTGTGCTCGTGGAACCTGCGCACCACGGTGAGCTCCAGGAAGGCCAGCGCCAGCGAGCGGCAGCAGTAAACCTGCAAGAAAGGCGCCGTCGCCGGTGAGCCCGGTTGGGACATCCCGGCCCCTCGGTGAGCCCGGCTGGGACTTCCCGGCCCCTCGGTGAGCCCGGCTGGGACCTCCCGGCCCCTCGGTGAGCCCCGCTGGGACCTCCCGGCCCCTCGGCCGCGCCCACGGCGAGGCCGCACAGATCACAGCCGCGGACCCGGTGTCCGGCTGTCTCACAGCACGGCTCCTGCAGCCGGCTTCCCAGGACACGGGGACCCGGGACAGTGCCCAGTGTGAGGCCCTGGACGTGCCCACCGAGGCCTGGGGGAGGGTGATCATGACTGAGCAGCGGTGCGACCCCACCTGAGCCCCCACCTGTGGCTCCGCAGGTCGGGACGCGGCTGTGCCCCGGCCCCTCCAGGAGTCTGAGGCCCGTGCAACCCAAGGGCCCCCTCTGTAACCCCAGCTCAGGCCAATGGACGGCACCAGCGGGCACTTTAAACACGAGGCCCCAGTCTCTTCCACAGCCCAGCAGGGGCACCATCCCCACAGCAGACCCAGGCAACGGCCCGAGGGCCCGGGCTGGAGGGCTGGCCCCTCCCTGGGGACCGGCAGCACAGGCGTTAGGGTGAGTGATAAACTAAGCCGTTTGGAAGACACACACACCTGGGAGTTATTTCTCGCTTCAAAGTCACTGCTTCCGGACCTCTTCTCCTGAGTTAGTTTCTGGTGACTCTCTCGGAGCAGGTAGCAGACCAGCCACTCGTATGCCGCCAGCGGGACTTGGGATGGAAACAGGAAAAAGTGACCACAGAGCGCCCAGCAGGTGTCCAGTACTCGAGTAACAGAGCATCTAGCAGGTGCCCAGTACTCGAGTAACAGAGCACCCAGCAGGTGTCCAGTACTCGAGTAACAGAGCGCCCAGCAGGTGTCCGGTACTCGAGTAACAGAGCGCCCAGCAGGTGTCCAGTACTCGAGTAACAGAGCATCTAGCAGGTGCCCAGTACTCGAGTAACAGAGCATCTAGCAGGTGTCCGGTACTCGAGTAACAGAGCGCCCAGCAGGTGCCCAGTACTCGAGTAACAGAGCATCTAGCAGGTGTCCAGTACTCGAGTAACAGAGCATCTAGCAGGTGTCCGGTACTCGAGTAACAGAGCGCCCAGCAGGTGCCCAGTACTCGAGTAACAGAGCATCTAGCAGGTGCCCAGTACTCGAGTAACAGAGCACCCAGCAGGTGTCCAGTACTCGAGTAACAGAGCATCTAGCAGGTGTCCGGTACTCGAGTAACAGAGCACCCAGCAGGTGTCCAGTACTCGAGTAACAGAGCGCCCAGCAGGTGTCCGGTACTCGAGTAACAGAGCGCCCAGCAGGTGTCCGGTACTCGAGTAACAGAGCGCCCAGCAGGTGTCGGGTACTCGAGTAACAGAGCATCTAGCAGGTGTGAGCACCTTGCATGTATTGATGGGTGGGTGAGGTGGGTCCAGTATGCAAACAGGGAAACTGAGGCACAGGGCGGGGACTGTCCAAGGGCCCCCGCTGGGTGGTGGCCGGGACAGGCCCAGGTGAGGGTGTTTCCTGGCTCTGCCAAGAAGCCATCCCCCTTCCACACTATCCTGGCAGCCACCCTCCCGTGGCCGCCGCTCTGTGCCGGCGACACTGCGGCCGGTGTCACGTGCCTGGCGCGGATGGATGGGGCGCGTGCCCTCAGCGTCACGGGCACTGGCCCGGACGTCGGGACAACTCCCCGGCACAGGGTGGGCTGCGGCTGACGTTCCACCCGGCGCTTCCTGCCGACCGGGCGCGTTCCGGAACCCGGGACCCTCAGAGCACCTGCCCACGAAACGTCACTCCCTCCACGGAGGACCTGGTGGGGAGCACACGTGGGAGGTGTGGCCGGCCACACGGCTCCGAGTCTTTGTAAATAGTTGAGGGTCTCATCCTGGATTGGGGGGCCCTGCGCCCACAGAGTGTCCTTCCACGGGGACGGCCGAGGAGGCAGACACAGGGCGGGGGCCAGGTGGCGATGGAGGCTGACCGGCCCAATGCGGCCACGAGCCCCGAACTCCGGGAGCCACCGGAGACAAGAGACAAGGGGGACCTGCCCCAGCCTCCGAGGGGCCCCACCCAGGCCTGGCCAGGGCTTCCCGTCTTCACACCGTTTGTGGGGCTTTGTCACGGCCGCCCAGGACGCTGACACCACGGGTGGCCCAGGGCACGTGCCGGAGCCTTCGGCTGCCCTGCAGGACGACCCTGAAAACCTCGGCGACGCTGGACACCCACGCGGACACGA